TCCTAGTCTATAAAATTGACCAATTCTCAGTCTCTTCCATAATATTTTTGTTCTTTCTTGTCTTGTAGCTAAAATGCTGCAGTCTGTATTCCTTTTGTGTGTTAACCAATAAAATAGACGACTTTTTGGTCATGTTGACCATATTTTTGTTCTGTATCCCTTTTACATGTCAACACTATTTTTATTTAATGAACATTTTGCCTTATTAATGTTGCTTTGCCTTGCATATATATTGTTTGCTTAGTATTGTTTTGCCCTCATCTTTTTTTCATCCTTTTCTTATTGTTTATTGTAAATTTTATCAATTCTGCTTGTTGGACATTTTCGCCAATTACATTTAACCATGGCCAATTACTCTACAAAGGTCTTCGTTAAACTCAACAGGAAAACCTGTTCATGGTACACCTCTTAAGATGAAGACACCTTTTCTAAACATTTAAAAATATCTGAAGTGGTTTCTCTCATTTGAAGATTATAAACACTATAAATATTAGATATAAATATACCATAGACGACACGTAAGCAATAAGGAAGTTCAGAAGAAAATGGTAACGAAAAGGATATTTGTACTTACAATCAGAAAGCAATAGTTTTGTAAAATTTCTGGAAACTGAGGAAAGTGGGCCTGGAGAATTTGACACACTAAGGGCATATTGAAACAAGCGAGAAACATCAAATAACTGACCAAATGAAGTTGTGTAAATGGATGGCAGAACAGGAACTAGGAGTGATGTTAAGAGGGCAAATTTTACTACAAAGAGGAGAAAGCCGTGGAGAGCAATGATCATCAATGCCCTGAAAGGATTTGGTATATAAAAGAATCCTCTGAATGCTCTATCTGTCCAATTTGGTCTGCACTGTACTGATTTGATCATGTAGTCTTTATACATTATTCTTGAAGCAAAATGCTTACTGTATATATTTGAGTATAGTGTGTTTTTATGATCAGTGTTTTATGCAAAAAAAATAGCTGGGGCGTGGTTACAAAAACAGGTTTGCAAATTTTAAACTTGATAAATTCCATGTTTGAATAAGCAACTGAAAATTTGCTATCTTGCTGGGTTGCAGTCATTGAAAGTAAAAGTGATAAAGGTCATTTCATTTTTCATAAATAAATATAAGTGCCCTTGTTTCTATTTTCTCTGAAATTTTGTTATTGCTCACATGTTCAGTCCATGGTATTCTCAGCATCTTTCTGTAGAACCCCATTTCTGTTATTTCAAGATTGTCTAGTATTCATTGCCATATAGAAGGACTGATGTAGATTGACAAGTTCTCTGTGATATGGAAAACAGGAAAAAAAACCATGGAAATAAAGTAGAAAATGGAAAATCATGGAAAACAGGATTTTTGCGACTAATAAATAAAATATTCTGATGGTAAAATGTAAAATTCCTGAGCTGGAACTTGACAGAATCATTATTTTTCATAAATTTGCAATACACAGCGAAGTCAGTCACTTATGTGCAAGTGCTATGACCTATATTGCTGCAACATGTCATCTTATAAATAATCTATGGTATTTTTCACTACTGATCCCAGTACTGTGCAAGCACCATAACCTAATTCATGATATAAACCTGGAATCCCCTCTTAATTGCTGGTGTTCTCAGGTCCACCCTGACCCAGGGTGGTAGTACCCATTAGGGTCCCAGCTATGGGCAAATAGTTAACCCCCAAACTGGAGTCAAAACACTATGAAAGTATAAAAATAGGTATTAATACCAGAAATACTTTGTAAAAAAAAAAAAAATTATTACCAGCAATACATTTTTGGAAAAAAAAAAAAAATTTCATCAGCAATAAAAATTTTGTCAGCATTAAATAATCCATTGAGGTTGGTATGCCGTAAAACAAAACAAACTGCTATGTGTGACGAAAGACATGACTTACCTCAGAGTTCAAAACAATCATGAACGTATCTTGCCTGCAAAGTAATGACAGAAAGAAACATGGCTGCTATTGATGGCGCAATTTATGCATGCATATCTTGTCCAAAACGAGATTTATTTGCACACATGCAAATTTTGGCAGTATCAGACTGGCATAAAAAGCGGGGTACCAGCAGCATGACTCGGGTTGGGAGTCATTCGGTGGACTTCATGCAATAGAGTTGGATGTACGAATTGACAGACGGACAAAGAGGAAGTTGAAGTAGGTGCGGCTGAGTTGGTGTCTGTTTCACGCCTGCCCGGTGTAATGGCCAAGAAAGGGAGTCTCGCAATCCATTTCCTTGAAGTGACCGACGATGAAGGAATAATAGCTGGTCTGCCGGCAAATGGTGCACTGCACTTTCTGACCCAGCTCTCGTCACTTTTTTCTTTTGTTAACTACACTATGCTCTACCTTTTACAAGAGCTTGATCAGGCAACAAATGTACCATTGCCGTATATGGACAGGAGCTGCCCATTTTCCAGTCTCGGTTCAAAAGCATCTCTGTGTCGTTGTGGGTGACAAATTCCACCCTACAATCCCTTTCTCATAGATAAAATGTCACATGCCTCTTGCTGCTCTGTCACTATTTCAATAGAAAGTGCTCAGATGAACTATATTCCTTAGTTCCACCAGTTCTAATCTTCGCACCTAAGACCTGCCATGGTACGCACATTGCAGTGACCCACCTTCATTCCCTTTGTATTCCATTAGTGAGAAGTTCCTCTCTAGTATCTTCTTTCCTGAAAACCACTGCTTTATGGAACCGACCCCCCCCCCCCCAAGAGGATGCTTCCCCTATCACTACAATTTTTAACCTGTTCATTTCACATTAATGCGGGGGGTTCCTGAGGGCTCTATTCTTGGACCTACATTTTTTTTTCTTTTTAACAATGACATTCCCAATGCCATCAGTTCCCAACTATATATGACACAACTATTTTCTCCTGTCTTAATAGTAAGCCTTCTGACAAAGTAAAACTGGCAGCTCCCCTCAAAAATGACCTCCAATCAGTTGTTAACTGGGACAAGAAATGTTTTGTAAATTTTAATCTCTTCAAAACGAAACTACTTTCACTTTCACAGAGAACCATTTTTGTCCTCTATCAGTATGGCTGATGCTAACCTTAGGAGAGAAATACTTTGTGCCATCTTAGTCTTCTGTATTTTGCAGACATAAAGTGGAGTGATTACATTGAATTGCTAGGTCTGCCACCAAGATGGCTGGTTCACTGTTTCATACCAGACAATTTTTCTCATCAGAATCCATTTTGCACATTTATAAATTTACCTTTTGTCTGTGCATTGATTATTGCCGCCATATCTAGTTTGGTACTCCTATTCTATATCTTAATATTCTCAACAAAATCCAAAGAAGGGTCTGTAATGTAATCAGTCCTGCCTTTCAGTCATTTTCCAAACACTGTGATGTGGCTTCCTTCTGTCTTTTCTATCAATATTTTCATGGCAGTTGTTCTAATGAGCTCTCTTTCTTGGTATCTCAACCGCATGAATTATGAAGTCTACTACTAGATTGTTTATTAGGTCTCATTGTTTTACTGTTGAAATAATAGCTAGATGTAATAACTTTTTTTTTCTTGCACTTTGATACTCACCCAGTGAGGATCAAAGTCATTACTCACTCTTTCTGAAACTATCCTTTTTCTTTTCTTTTTTGTTCCTTCATATAGAGAATAAGTGAATGAGTGAGAGAAGTGGAGATGCAGAGTAAAAAAAAGGAAGCTGAAACAGGAAAGAGCAAAATATATTTTCATAGTGAGAGAGAAATTGTAAAAATTTTTACATCATACTGTTTGGAATTTTTTTTTTTTTTTTTTTTTTTATTTTTTTTTTGTTTGGATTTTTTTTTATCTCATGCATACACAGAAACATATACAAGCCTAAATATTTTTCAGTACAGCCATCGTCTAACGTTCTTCCAACTCTCTTTCGATTTCTTGCTTCCCCGTTCTTTTATTATCCTTTCTCCTCACTAAAGTCTTCTCATTCTTTTTCATTCTCAATAACCCTTGTGTCTTAGTGGAATTATCACCTTGCTTAGGGTGAAATGATTAAAAAATAAAAGAAAAAAGTAAGGTGACATGCCTCCCTCTGTTTTTTTTTTTTTCCTTTAATGTGTCCTCTGATGTCTTTCTCATTACATGTCCAAGGAATTTCAGTTGTCTTTTGGATTCTGAGTATAAGTGTTCTTTTGCCCCATTTTCTTAAAGACTTCTTCAATGCAAATGAAATTAGTCAATAAAAAATAACCATGATGCCTCTTTAATATAAGCATCTTTAAAATATGAATATACAAGGATTTTTTTTTCTAACTCAACATCTGTAATTGTTAAGATAGTCATTCTTTTACATATTTTGGGAATTATCATGTATTTAATGAAGAATCTCGAAACAAGAATCTTATTATTATCTCTGAAGAAGATTTTATTTTTTTCATCTGCTTTTGACTGGCAAATTGATTTTTGTCAAGAGAAACTTCAGAGTTTTGCTGTATGCAAGATGCAGACAAAATCTACTTATCAGATCAAGAGGAAAAGGAATAAGCAATGTTTTCCTGCAGTGAAAAAAGCATGAAAAACAGGAGAGAAAGAGAGGGGAGGACATGAGAGAGTGGAGAGGAAGGATGAAAAGTAAGAGTGAGAGAGAATGATAGGGAGTGGAGAGAAAAGTGAAAGTTCATGAGAGGGAGGAGAGAAAAGTGGGAGAGCGTGAGAGGGTGGAGAGAAAAGGTCAGAGAGCATGAGAGAGGAGAGAATAGAAATTGAGATAAACAAGAAAATAAAAATATTTTGTGAGAGAGAAAAATAAAAATGGTGTGATGTTATAAACAAGAAAAACACAAAAAAACAAGGATTAAAAGAGAAAGTAAAAAAAGATAGTGAATGAGTGGAGGAAACAAAAAAGTTAAAGAAACACAGAGGTAGGGAAAAAGATAGTTTAAGTGAGTGATAGTAAAAGAAAGAAAGAAAGAAGGACTGAATAAAAGAAAAAGTGAAAGAAAGCAAGAGTGAAAAAAAGAAAGAAGTGGAAAAAAAAAAAAAATGGAGTCTCTTCTCTTTTGAATTTCTTTTGAAAAAACTTCAATCTCTTTCTTTCCGTTTTCTTCTCTTTGTTCTCTTGATATTTCTTTCTTTCCTCTCTTTCTTTTCACTCTCTCTTTCTTTCACTCTCTCTTTCTTTCACTCTCTCTTTCTTTCACTCTCTCTTTCTTTCACTCTCTCTTTCTTTCACTCTCTCTTTCTTTCACTCTCTCTTTCTTTCACTCTCTCTTTCTTTCACTCTCTCTTTCTTTCTCTTTTCCTCTTCTTTTCTTTCTTTCTTTCTCTTTCTTTCTTTCTCTCTCTTTCTTTCTCTTTTCCTCTCTCTCTTTCTTTCACTCTCTTTCTTTCTCTTCTTTCTTTCACTCTCTCTTTCTCTCTCTTTCTTCTCTTTCTTTCTCTCTCTTTCCTCTCTCTTTCTTTCACTCTCTCTTTCTTTCTTCTCTTTTTTCACTTACTTTCTTTCCACCCACTTTCTGTACATTTCCTCTATATTCTGCTCTCCTCCTTTCTTTTCACTTTTCTTTCCTTCCTTCTCTTTCCTCTCTCTTTTTCTTTCACTTTCTTTTTCTTTCACTTTTCTTTTTCCTTCTTTTTTTTCTTTCCTCTCTCTTTCTTTCACTCTATTTTTCACTCATCCACTTTCTTTCACTCTCTTTCTTTCAAACTTTTCTTTTTTTTTCTTTTGTTGCTCTCTTTTCTTTCACTCTCTCTCTCTTTCACTTTTTTGTTACCTTCACCCACTCTGTACATAAATATATTCTGCTCCTCCTCTTTTGTTCCTTCCTGTTTAGTAAAGAAGATTAAATCCACTCAATCTTGCTCAAACTTAAACAGAAAACAAGTGAACAAAAGATATTTTCAGATGCAGAGTAAAGAAGATGAAAAGAAAGACGAAACAGTAAATTTTTTTTTTTTTTTTTTTTTTTTTTTTTTTTTTACTTTCCCATTTTTTTTGTTTGGATTTTTTTTTTTTATCTCCTGCATACACAGAAACATATACAAGCCAAAGTGTGAGTACTACTGCCATCTTCACACACTCTGCCAACTTTCAAATGCTCTGAGATTTGACCCTATACGGATTTACCCAAGGGAGTGGAGGCATGTTCATGACTCCGGCTTAGTCCCTGTCACTACCAAAAATGAACATGATGGAAAGACATGACAGTTACTTATTGGGGTTGGCTGTGGGTTTATAGATCAGGGGTTGTGGGGGAGGATCATGTTTGGGTTCAAGGTTTGTTGCGATAGGTTGACATTTGTACCTCACAAGCTTCTTCACGTTTCTTCTCAGAATTGTGATTTTTCCCTTGGCCCTCACTCGAGCCTGCCAACCTGACAATAAAACCAACTCTTCTGGTTATGGCTTCCAATTCTAAGACACAAGCTGTCTCCTTCTTGTATCCATGGACTACAGTTTGATTGTTTTTCTTTGTTTTTCTCTCTTTTCTTTCCAGCCTGGAAACAAATGCCAAACTTGATCCCTTCTTATCTGTCTCTCTCCCTCTCACCTTTCAAGTGTTTTGGCATCCCAAAGCAATGTGCTGGCACCGGTGTAAGAGCACATGCAATTTGTGCATTTTTTTTTTGTGTGTGTTTGTGCAAAGCAATTGACTGTTTTTCTAGATGTCACAGCACAAGGTGTAGTGGAATTAAGATACGCCATGGCCGTGGTCTTCCTTCTGAGTGAGTTATGTATTATATTTATTACTGCCATAAACACGGACATGTTAAAATATGTGTAAAAAAATATATACAATAACAAATGTCAAAAAAATATAAACAATAGATGGTGGGTGGGGCGGTAAAGCACAAGGTTAATAAATGAAAGTCATCGTAAAGACGTAAAAAAAAAAAAAAAAATATTCACAATAAGCAAATACAAAAAAAAAATAACAAAGGCTAGCCAACTTTGATTCTCATTCTTCAGAACCTCTCAAGGACAAGTGTGTATAAATGTGCAATGTTGAAACAAGAATAGAAATACATATATAGTCCACCCCAAAAATGTATACTCACTCCAGGAAAGGAAAAACTTGTCTTTCGTAGTTTTATCAAATTGCAGTGACACTGCCATTCATGAACCTTCTGGAAATGATTAATTTTTTTTCAAATAGACGTGCAAGCTTATCTGAATGGCAATTTGCAAGGACACTCTCTAGGATGAAAAGGTACAGTTGAGTTCCCACCCCATTTTAATCTGATTTAACACCTGTAGACTTTTATGTAGGAGGGAGGGATTCTAAAGGTTCTTGTCTATTGCAGAAAAAAACAACTACATTGGTGGCCCTTAGACAAGAAATTGAAAATGCATATGTGGCAGTCCCATTGGGCACTTTGGGCAATGTTGCCCAAGCACTAGTTTGCTGTACTAATAAATGTTTGGAAGCTAAGCACCGTCATTTTGAGCATCTCTTGTGATTGTAGAATCCAAAGTTAACTTGTATTAATCTCATGATGTCTGAATAAAGTTAGGATTACAATAGTTTTTCCTTTCCTGAAGTGTGTATACATTTTTTTGGAGGACTTTGTGTGTGTGTCAGTATAACACATGCACATTTTCATGTGCAGTTACAATAAATTTACAATTATCAATAACATTAATTTTTTGTCTTAGCAATTCACTCCTGAAGATGACCTTGGATAAGATCAAAAGTACGTGGGGAAAATAAAAGATATAGCCAAAACTATAGCGCCTTTCTTAATAAGTTTTCTAACAGCATTAAGAAATTAATTTGTGAATTTGAGAGGATTAAAATAAAAATAGACATATGTCTAGATTATTCAACCAAACATGTGATATGCTGCCCCTCTCTCTCTCATATATATATATATATATATATATATATATATAAAACGGCTCAAAAACCAATATTCCTTGGTTATAATTTATTACATTGGAATTGTTATCATGATCCAATTCATCAGTCCTATAAATTCAAAAAGCTTTTTGAATTTGTACGTCTGAAGAATTGGATTGTAATTATGATTCCAATAACCATGGACTATTAGTCTTTGAGCCTTTTATATTCTTACTGTCCTGGACTTAGATTTTTACCTGGATTCTATCCTCTTAGAAATTTGTGTGTTTGTTATATATATATATATATATATATATATATATATATATATATATATATATATATCCACAGACAGACTGTTTTGCCATATCACAGCTCTTCAGTGTGGCTAGATGTCTGATTGCTTCAAGCTGGGATTGAAACTCAACCGATTTGATATCAGTTAGAGATCCTACCTATCGTTGCACAGCAGAGAGAAAGGGAACTTTTAACATTTTCTTAATGAAATACGCTAGTGGCACGGAGAAGTCAATTTGTACTTGAAGAGTAATATATAAACAAGAGAATCGGCAGGAGAAAAAAAAAATGACCACACTCTTGTTACGCTAAGGCTAAGCAATCATTCTTTCTGCTTACAGAGAGAAAGCTGCCTGGTCTTCATGCATATTGTTTCTCATATTTTTCAATGATAATCAATGCTTTGTTGATTATTGTAAAGGGATCACTGGTAAATGATGTTGCACAATACGGATTATTCATTAAATGTTCAGCAATCGCTGAACCAGACACATTCATCAACTTAAGCAAATTATCACATCTGCCCTGACAAATCTTAGTTGGTATGTACTGGGCGGCATTTAAGCTAGCTCCTTTTGAGGGGTCTTAATTGGGCCTTTAGCTTGTTCAGGAGTTTGAGTCCCTAAGTCTTTGCATATTCTCAGCATTGGAAGCTCTCCTGGTTGCTGTTTGATCTGGGTTTTCATTTGCACAAGACTTTCTTTTCCTCAGTGCAGCCTTGGCCCCTTTGGTTGCAATCTGGTTGGCAGAGATTTCTTTTTGTGAATCATACTGCTGCCATATACAATAGGCAACGATAAGCTACAGAAGAACTCAAAATTGATTGTTGCATTTAACTGTTGCATTAATATTTAAGCTCACTTTTTAAAAGTTCAATGATAATTCTTCAGCCACTACTTGATTTAAAAACAGTTTGATGTACGTAGGTCCTTACTTTCCATACAAACAATTATTTTTATTTCATGGGTGACTTTTGCTGGATTTTGCAATTAATTTCGATAATTCCTAAATTTATTTCCAAGTTATAAAAATCCACATAAAAAACGCCAAAGTAATTGCAGTAATGAAAACTTGGGAATCCAAAATTTCTGTAACATGAGCTATTGAAAGTTAGAGAGTTGTCTTTAATTGAAAAAATGTGACACAGTGACAGACTGACATTTGTATTTATTATCTAGATAGTTACATAATATATATTTCTCAGTCAAGGTCAGTGTTCAAATTCTAGTAAATGCCAGAAGAAGAAAAAAAATTCCTGCTTGTTAGTAGCAATGAACTACAGATATATAATATATGTGTGTGTGTTTGTGTGTGTGAAATAATGATATATACTTTTATATATGAAGAACAATATTGGGGAAAAAAATGTAAAACAAAGTGGAAGATGTTTTTTGTGTGACATGTTTCAGACTTTAGGACTTCCTCAAACTAAATTTATCATGTTGGTGTGGCTACACCTGTGCACAAGTGATGGATACTGGGAATTCAAAATTTTTTAATTTATATTTTTATATTTTTTTTAATCTAGTTGATTGTAGGATATCTAATAACAAAAATGATAGAAACAGAAAGAAAAAGAAATCTAAATGAAATCAGCTAGATTAAAAATTTTTTTAAATTTCCAGCATCCCTCAGTCATGCACATGTGTAGTTGCACAACATAAACTTACTCTGATACAAATCACATGAAACCTTTTTCCCAAATAATATATATATATATATATATATATATATATATATATATATATATAAATTCATTTATTCTTAAAAAATAAAGTACAAATGCATTTTATTTAATTATATTGTAACCATTATTTACAATCACTTGTTGTTATGTATGAGGTAGCTCTTTGATAACTTTTAAGTAAAATCATCAAGTTTTGATGCCAAACTTTGATTTTCATTAGAGAAAGTTTTCCTCATCATTGGTAATCATAATATTAGTCATTTTCCTACAAGGAAACATTTGACCGAGCAAAATGAACCCTGTAAGTCTTTGAGAAAACCATCCTTCTTCAAACCTGTGCTACCAAATCACAAACAAAGAACGGTACCAAATAACAGGAAGATTTTATAAATTTCAACCAACAATAACATCGGCTGCTCGATCAATGAATGCTGAATGTTTTTCTAATAATGCCAATCGTAATATTCCTTATACAGAAAATTTAGTATTTCTTGACCAAACTGCCAGCACTATTGGGAAATGCATAATAATCTATCACTTAAAAGAATTTTTCAGAAAAATAGCTTAATAGTGTAGTGGCTGTTATAGCTCTTGCTTCCTCCTTAACCTTTTATTTGAATTTTTTTTTTTTTTTTTTTTTTTTTTTTTTTTTTTTTTTTTGATGTACAAGGCCCGAGAGCCACTAGAGATAGTTACAGGGGCACAGATTATGGGAACATGTGGTTAACTCTGAACTTGAACAAGTTAAGATTGTACTGATTGGGGAATAATCCTCTTGGGAGTTGGTTCCACAAAGTAGCAGTTTATGGGAAGAAGCTGTTTGAGTGGAAGTTACATCTTGAGTGTTCATGTTGTAGTTATTGCCCCTACTTTTTGGTTGTTGCTTAGTGCCATCAAAATGGCTTCCACTGTTATTGGAAGGTTCTTCTCCGGTTAGATAACCATTTTTGGTGCTCAAAAAAAAAATACTATCTGACAATGGGTGTGAATTCAACAACAGTGTTCTGTTCCGTGTACAACAGACCTACTAGCACTCATCTCCCTTTACCGGCCCTTTTTGCTTGGGGGCTTCTTTCTGACCCTACACCGGTTGAAGGTTCCTGGTGCTCAGCCTCTATCTAGTTTAGCTGCCCCCAGCACGGCCGCTTGGCATGCCCCCAGCTTGGCCGCATGGCTTAGTTTTCATCCTTTAAATATCTCGTCATTCTTGGACATCTCCGGTAAGAACTATCGCCTTTCTTCCTTCCTATTATGGAATTATTTAATGCAAGCATTATTTTTTAGTATCATTTTCTTCCTTAAACGAACTTTGTTTACCTTCTCACCACGTACGGAACCTCCATCTTTCCTCTCTGAACTCTACTGTTACTCAGCATAATTTGTATTCTTTTTCTTTCTATGAGTATTTTTTATGTTCAAATGCTTCTATTCTGCAAGCTTATCATACCTACAATTACTTTTAAGGTCTTAGTAAATACTCACCTTCATTTTGTATCTCTGTGTTTCTGAAGAAACGTGTTTTTATTTTCTTTCAGTTTTAGCTTTGTCGACTGTCAATAAACCTGTGTCTAAAACATACCATGTCTCAGAGTCTTGATTGTCGATGAGTTTATTCTAACTGTCTAAGGGTTGTGTACATTTCAACGAAATATACGCATCCCGGAGACAGTATAAACAGTGAAATGCAGGAATTGGGTGAAGCCCAATGTGACAGTGATGACAATAACAGCACAAAGTCCTTGGAACAATGGTGTATGCGAGAACTTAATGCTGTTATTGGTAACATGGTAAATAAAATAATTGAAGATATACAATGTGATTTGGATGTTGCTCTGGTGTGGCCTATTTCAGCTTGCAATACACTTGTCAACAATTCTAGTTTTTCCCCTAATCAGTTGGTTTTTGGTTTTAATCCAGCTGTTCTATATATCTTCTGTAATAATCTTCTCGCATTGGAATCTGTCACTACATCGACTATAGTGCGGAAAAATTTGAATGCATTGCACCTGGCTAAGCAGGAATTTGTGAAGCTTGAATCTAATGAAAGAATACGAAGAGCACTAAGGAGTAATATCCAGTATGCTAATATAAAAGATTTAAGAAATGGAGATCAAGTATTCTACAAAAGGAGTGATACCTAAGAATGGCTTGGCCCAGTTATTGTGTTTGGATGTGATGGGGAAACTAGTGTTAATTCATCATGGGGTTACGTACATCAGAGTTCACATTTGTCACTTGGTTAAAGATTCAAATGCTGGTTATGATTCCTGTTCAGACTCTAGTGGTATTTCGAATTATAATGAACAATAAAATAATTATCTGCAAACTCCTTACTCTCCCTCTCTTTACATATATAATGATGATGAAGATATCCTTCAACCTGTTCCAGAGGAATAAGAAAACATTTCATCAGGGTCGAGATGTCCTCCACAGGAGGTGGTTGCTGCATTTGGACCCAGGAAGAGTGGTGTGTCTCTTCCCAAAGCAGGAGATGACACAGAGTGAAAGTTGGCTGATGATGAAGAATTTTAGTGGAAGAGGATGAAAATGGTTAGTAAAGCTGGTAAATCCATTGGAAAAAATAAGTACATTATGAATGTAGCATTTGAAGAAGGTGAACCTTTTTGACTGGATTTTGAAAATGGGGTTTCAGAATGGAGAAAAAAAGCAAGATGGTTGTTAAGATAGGCAATCTGCACTGTTGCCCTCTGTGGCTAAAATGTAGAGAAAGCCAAGGAGGAAGAGCTATACATCTGGAGAAACAATGGAATTTTTGTACAGGTTCCTGATTTGGGACAGGATAGAATATAGCAAAAAAAAAAAAAAAGAGACATCAAAAGGCCCTGTTATCAAAGCAAGAATGGTCAGTTAGGGATTTCAGGATAAAGGAATCCAAACTGCTTATACAGATTTTCCCACTTGTTCCAAGGAAGCTTTGTGCATTGTCTTACCTCTCATATCATCCTTAGGATGGACTTGCACTATGGGCATAAAAACTGCCTTTTTACAAAGTAATGATTTTGAAAGGCATGTTTACTTTGAATAGAAGCTAACATGTCTCGGGAAGCCTCTCAACTGTGTCTATGGTCTTTATAGATGCTTTCAGATCATGGTATTAGACTGTCAGAGGTGCCCTATTGGAATTGGAAGCTACCGTATCTAAATATGACCAAGCAGTGTTTACTTGGTATCGTGGCAAACAATTTCATGGCATTATTTCCACCCATGCTGACGATTTTTGCTGGAGCAAAGCCAACCTTCAAATATTAGGTTGGTGCAAAAATAATGACGTAATAATGTTGTTTTTTGACGTTAAAAAATGTCAAAAAACGACATTATTACATCATTATTTTGGCACCAACCTAATATTTGGGGATAGAAATATCCCAAAAGAGTAAATTAATGAGAATTAGTCAGGATGTCTATACTGTGTCTCTAAAATCCATAGCCATCCAAAATAAAGATAGTGAAGAGTAACTTTCAGAATCTGAGTATACCAATGTCAAGAGGCTTATTGTAGTATCTTCTCTCCTTGAAGTGACAGATGTGTGGTTCTACCAACAAGTTCTTAAAATACCATAGACAGAGCATTTGAGCCATGATGAAGTTTTAAGGAAAATAGCAATAACAAGGCAACTTATATATAGAATCAGAATTCAAAGTTATATTGTTGTTATAGATTTATTTTTAACTTTTTAAATCCCGGGCATTGCTAGGTAGCTCTGTTAGTTAGAAATAACCAGCTGAAATTTCTGGGACATGTAACGAGGATAGAAGGCCTAGATTTGTTTGTTTAATGGCATATCGACTCCTTTTGGGTCATTTAATGCCAAAATTTAATTGAAATATTTTGAACATAATTTCATGGCTTCAACTACAGATAAAATGTATTTAGTCATTTTGCTTTAAAATTGTATTGCAGGTATTTTTACTAAAACTATATATTGCTAGTATTTTTACTGTAAAAATGTATTTTTATACCTTCATAGTGTTGTTCACTATTTGTCATAGCTGGGACCCTAACAGGTGCTACCACCCTGGGTTAGGGTGAACCTGAGAACAGCAGCAAAAGAGGTGGTTCCACGCTCCTCAGAACCTCATGATCTCCCAATTAGCAGCCTTACTGCCAGATGTAGTTTATAGTCATACCCAGAAGGCCTAGAGAATTTAACACTCAAAAGGACATACTGAAGGAAAGAAAATCAGTGTAAACAGTGTGCAACTTAATGAATTTTATGTGTATAGATGGCAGAACAGGGACAAAGGGTAAAAGATTATTTAGTGATGTATGTGTCTCACCCCAGAACAGACTTGGCACTTAGTAACCTTCTAGTTGCCAAGTGCAGGCCAACATAATCAGGTTATCTGCACCAGGGATGCAGCACATGAAAAAGAGCCTCATAGCAGAGATAGCTATATAAACATCAACCCCAGTGGTAAGAGGGGCAGTCTCTTTCAGACATAGCAGGCAAAAATGTATAGTCTTTGTTTTTTTTTGTTTTTTTTTTAGTATCTGTCTATATTTCTGAGATGAGGTATTATGTACATTATTCGGACTATTGTCTTCATCTTTGTCGCCATATTTATTACAATGTTTCGGCCGTTGTATACTCCGACCTTCTTCAGGTGGTTGGAATGTTGAACTGAACCCTTTATTTCGCTCACTGGGGTACACTGTTCCACGTGCCATGTTTAATGGATATCAGTTATCTCCTGTTAATTTTCCTCTGAAAGTTCTCCACTGCCTTAACCGGACTTTTTTTAATGAAGGAATAGGATCATGCATGCACAATGGCTGACAGTAGCTGATAAAATCAGGAGTTGAATAAAATGTAAAATTAAATATGATTGATTAAATTGTTATAGCTGCAAAAGTCAGATGTAAAAGTGATAATCCAGTAAAGATGGCGGTTGTGACAAGAAGATATTTGATATAAGAATATTTCTCCTTGGTACAATGACTACAAAACAGAAGACAGCAGATAAAGATCTGTAGAAATCCCTGCAACAAATGTGTAATTCAAACCTTGCTTTATTAATGCAGCCTCCATGACCAAATTGGTAAAGGCACATTTTTTGCTGCAGATGTGGTTTCCCTGGCGGATAAGGGGATAGAGATTCAATCCCAGTTGGAGGCTCAGTTTTTCTTTTGTAGGACTTCTCAATCTCGTCTGGTTTTTATTAATTTCACTGGTTAAGAAAATAAAAAAATAAAAATGCCAGGATAGCCACCAAGATATAGACCTACTAAAAAGAAGCTTTATAGTACAAAGAAATAATGTCAGATGAAAAATTCATTCAAGAACCAAATACAAAATGGAGTTTGCTTACAATTATCATGATTTTTTTTTTTTTATTACTTTCTTATTAGTCATTTTATTTCACTGTCTTATACAATATTCTGTCTTTACTGTCAGCTTTACCAATCTTCCCCTTTTATCACTTATGTGATCATTGCATTGTTCACTTTCTTCCTCACAATTTTAATTTTTCAGTGTCAGATTGTATGTTTGCTGATGGCTGAAAATAGAAATAAAAATGAATGAATTAAGAAAATTGAATGACTAGCAGACAGTAGAAAATTATAGTCTTGAACAAATTCTACAAAAATTCAAGACAGTAGTTTGTCCATTCTGCTCTGAAAAAAAAAAATAAAATAAAAATGGCGGATGTCTACATCAAGTTTAATTCAAAAAATTTGTTTGTGCTGCTTGAAGTCAAGGATTTGTAAAGATTATTGATGAGTGCAAAAAGATATTTGAACATTTAAGAATAATTAGGTAATTAGAAATATTTTTTTTTTATCTCTCTCCAAAACATCTATTCTTTACAGGGCTTCAATAGTGTGAAATTTTGCAATGCTATTCACCAATTTTAAAAATTCTTAGGATTCTCATTTGTATAACTATGCCACACAAATAGGAAAGCCAGAAGAAAAGACTAACCATCAATTGTAAGAAGACAGAATGTACAGTTGTCAGCAAGAAGAACAGTCCAAGATGAGATCTATGAATTGGAGATATCAAAATCAAGCATGTTCCAAAGTTTAAATATCTAGAGATGGCAGATAATAAGATACCAAAATCCAAATCTAATTTATTGTAGCAGTAACATTATTACATACAACACCATCTTGATAGCAGATATAGCAAGAAAACTGAAGTAACTCCTAGACAAAGTAATAAAAGAAAGGTGAGAAGAAAGGACTAACTGTCAATTGTAAGAGATATATATATATACATACAGTGTAACCCGGATACAAGAGAGATTTTCTCTGGTCCCGTCCTCCCCGATATAAGAGAGTTCGTTTAGAGTGACAGTGTGATGTCGTAAATCGGTCAAACAGAGGTCAGTTAGAGAGTGAAGTTCAATGACCTG